ATATATATATATATATATATATCAAGATTTTTTTATAAAAAAAAAAAATTTATGGCTGAGCACTGTTTCACGTGTTGTTTGGACTTATGATTGTAACATAGACTCGGGATGCATAAAATCACAAGTAAATTACACTCATCGATTAATGCAAAATTCCCTTGTAAAATTGACATTACATGAGATAGTGATTTTTCTAATATTGATTGTGTGTAACTTTGAAAATCTAGTAGTAGTGTTGTGTGACTTTGAAAAGCTAATCTTTGAACCTCTCAACTTTAAGATTTTCCCGTTTTGCTCAATTTCAATCACGTATTAGTGGTGGGACACATCAAATTGAGTGAGTGGATGTATGTAGGAAAAAACTATGAAATTGAGAGGAACCGAATTCTTAATTTTCAAAGATTATTTTTTTAAAAGTTTTGGTGATAAAAAACAGTTTTGTGTGTTATTTGGACTCATGATTGTATCATAAACTCGAGATGTAAAAAATCACAAGTAGACCACACACATCGATTAATGCAAAATTCTTTGGTAAAGCTTACAATTCAAATATTGGGATTGTAGTTCCCGGAGTTATCTCGTTTGAGCTACTCAGACAGACATTAATATGAGATATTTGATTTTTCTAATGTTCAGTGTGTTCTGGTCAAAAAAAAATTAAAAAAAAAAACTGTTCATGTGTGTGTGACTTTGTAATAATAATCTTTATGAATTTTCTATTGTGTACCTTTCAAAATCTAATATTTGGACGTAAAATCTCTCAATTTCAAGAATTTTTCATTTTTTTTTTAGCGAGGAACGTCTTTAAATAAGTTTGATATTGGACCAATTCCTATAAGAGTAAACTTTGAATACTTACGATCACCTGTAAATTATATGTATAAGTTAAGTCTGAAAGATACCCAATAAAGATCAAACTTCTGATGTTCGAGTCTACTCGTATTAGTCGATTTTAATCACTTATTAGTGATGGAACACATCAAATTGGGTGAGTGATTGTATCTAGGAAAAATAAGAAAAATTTTGAAATTGAGAGTAACGAAATTCCTGATTTTCAAGACAAAAAAAAAATACCAAGATTTTTTTAAAAAAAAATTTGGTGGCCGATAACTGTTTCATATGTTGTTTGGACTCATTATTATAACATAAACTCAAAATGAGAAAAATCACAAGTAGACATCACAAATCAATTAATGCATAATTCTTTGTAAACATTAAACTTAAGACATCTAGGGTTGTACTTTCTAAAATTATCTCGTTTGAGCTAGGCAAACAATACATGAGATATTGATTTATCTCATGCTGAGTGTATAATATTGAAAATCTAATTTTTGGACCCAAAACTTCTAAATTTCGAGATTCTTTCGTTTTCACTCTATTTCAATCGTGTTGCATCAACTTGGGGTGAGCGAATGTAATTAGGAAAAAACTGAAAACTTTTTAAATTGAGAGGACCCAATTTTCCTAATTTTCAATGCAATGGTGGTGTGCCAGTTGATTTGACAGGCAACACCATGCTTTGATTGATCTGTATCATTTTATTGTTAAGGCAACAAAACAAAGGGGCATGGACCAGTTTTGGGACCAAATCAAAAGATCAGATGCTAACATATCGTGCTTGCTTTTGCAAAAAATGGGTCCCCTTTGGACTTTCTTGGGAGTGTGGGACCCATTTTGAACTCAGCCTTTATTCCTATTGAGGGTCGTTTTTGTTTTTTTTTTTTGATATTTTAAAAAAATAGGTGAGAGTAAAGAAAAACGCTCAACGGCCACCCCGTTATCCCGTTAAGGCTTCACTGGTGAGATTATAAGGCTCTTGACATCGTCTGGAACACTTCTCGGAGCTAGACCTAGTTAGGCTAACATAGTGGCCAACCACCGATCTCTAATGAGAATTTCAAAACTCAAACTTTTAACCTTAGAGTGAGGAGTAAGGTCGATACCACCACTAGACAACCCTAATCGGTATCTCTTTCTTCGATTTTATTCTTATTTGGAGGTAAACAAGAGGCTTTAATTTTGACCAATTGTCCACTTCATATTGCGCTGAAGTTAATATTAGACTATGACATCTATAAACACACCGTCAGGTTGGTGGTTTAAGATCTTTCTGGACTCTCGTGAAATTAACAAACATGATTCATCATAGGGATTTTCACTAATTCCATTGACAGTTAGCTTTGTGGTGCGAGATTAGGGGTGTTAATTCAGATGAGTTATTTGAACTCAACTCAGATAAAATTTGAATCAAATTTAACTTTTTTTTTAAACGAGTTGAGTTTGAATAATTTTTTAAGCTCGTTTAAAAAAATGAGTCTAAATGACTCAGCTTAAACTCGCAAAATTCGATTCATTTATATATAAAATAATTGAATTATTCGAGTTCGACTCAACTCCGGGGCTCGGCTCAAATTCTAAATGACCCAAGCTTGAATAATTTTTTAGGCTAGTTTAAAAAAATAAGCTCTCCAAATTCGAATTCAAACTCAAGCTTGCAAAATTCGACTCAATTTAAACGAGTTATTTGAACTCAATTCAGATAAAATTTGACTTTTTTTTTAAAGAAGTTGAACTTAAAATAATTTTTTAAGTTCGTTTTAAAAAATNTTTTCACTAATTCCATTGACAGTTAGCTTTGTGGTGCGAGATTAGGGGTGTTAATTTAGACAAGTTATTTGAACTCAGCTCAGATAAAATTTGAATCAAATTTAACTTTTTTTTTAAAACGAGTTGAGTTTGAATAATTTTTTAAGCTCGTTTAAAAAAATGAGTCTAAATGACTCAGTTCAAACTCGCAAAATTCGATTCGTTTATATATAAAATAATTGAATTATTCGAATTCGACTCAACTTCGGGGCTCAGCTCAAATTCTAAATGACCCGAGCTTGAATAATTTTTTAGGCTAGTTTAAAAAAATAAGTTCTCCAAATTCGAATTCAAACTCAAGCTTGTAAAATTCGACTCAATTTAAAAGAGTTATTTGAACTCAATTCAGATAAAATTTGACTTTTTTTTTTAAAGAAGTTGAACTTAAAATAATTTTTTAAGCTCGTTTTAAAAAATGAATCTAAAAACCTCTACTCAAATTTACAAAACTCAATTCGTTTATATATAAAATAGGCGAATTACTCGGGTTCGGCTCAAGTTTGGAGCTCAACTCAAATTCTAAATGAGCCGAACTTAAATAATTTTTTAAACTCGTTAAAAAAAACAAATTTACCAAGCTTGTAAAGCTGGACTCAATTAACTCTCCCAAGTGCGAGTTAGGCTACGCCTCTGAGTTGTCCTTTGAAAGTGCCTACGACTTTCTGCTGTTTAAGCGCTAGTGAGATTTCCTCATTTGTTCGGACTGTTATGATCACGTCTAAGTAGAGGGATTACACAAAATCCATTGTCCTCAATCAAAAAAAAAAAAGCAAAGAGAGGAGAAAACCACGTATTATGGAAGATGTTTGGTATCCTGGTAGTTGAAAATTTCATGGAGAACATCCAATTTCAGAATCATGTGGCTTTCATAAGTTTATGCTCAACAAATGCATTTCTGTTGTCATTTAAGGAACACTACATATAATCAGATATTTCTATTCCCTNGATGTTTGGTTTCCTGGTTGTTGAAAATTTCATGGAGAACATCCAATTTTAGAATCATGTGGCTTTCATAAGTTTATGCTCAACAACTGCATTTCTGTTGTCATTTAAGGAACACTACATATAATCAGATATTTCTATTCCCTCGAAAGCGAGCTTCAAACAGAAATGTCATGCAATGTCTATTTGCGGAATTCCATCGTTCCTTATACCAATGAAAAATCATACTATAAAACACTGTTGATGCAATGTCTATTTTGTAAAATCGGAAAGTAAGTTACGCAAGATAGACATTACACAAATAGTGTTACAAAGTAGTACATAGTAATGAGCAATTTAAAAACAATCTGCTCAAAAACTAAGTGTAACAGAAATGAAGGTGCTAAGATAGATAAGTGGTATAACCATAAATTCTAAAATGAAAAATGAGAAATTAGCACAAATGTGACAGAAATTAAGAAAAAAATTGACTTAAGTGGTGGGAGCATGCTTATTGATGATCTAATATTATATCAGTCAATAGTGAAGAAGAGAAATGTGATACATATAATGATAACATGCGCGGTAAAGGTAAATCCAACTAATTTTTAGTGAGATAATAGAAAAAGATAAGATGACTTGCACTTTTAGCAAAAAATATTACACTTATACAGCATAATGATGGAAAAATATTCATATATCCGATTTGCAATAGTTGGGATAAGGCTCTGTTGACTTAAAGTATATACAACAGATCTAGTCTACTCCTACGAGGAAGTGTTAAGGCACACCACAAAATCAATCTACATCATTAATACATGTGGGAAAGATTCGAAAGAAACTAACTTTCACTCAAGACAGCGTTTAGCTAATTCTTCACATATTCAAAATTGATACTTCAAAGTTCAAAGCCAACATAAAGAAAGAGTAGAAAAACTGCTCATTGGTTATGTACCACACATAACCAGGGATAAATAATGCAATGCAAATCAATATGACACCACAAAACACTTCCAAGTCAGAGAAAAGAAAATTAACTGTATCCCAAGAAGTTGTTCTGGAATCATGGCGGGGCCTCGGCCTACAGGCCCTGATCAATAAGGTAATCACCCAACCTCTCAACAACCATGTTGCACTGTCCAGGAGTCACAGGCTCCTCATATATGCCGAACACTAGAGCTTGACCAGTCTTCTTGATGGTCACACCTCCTGCTCCCTGCCAAACCAACATAAGACTATAATTAAACACAAGCAATGAATTAAGAAAATAATAGTCATGTCAGCCATCACAAACGCTTGCTTTTATTCTAAAAGTGGAAAACTGAAGTATATTAGAAAGATCAAATAGAAAAAGGCAAAGAACTCAATTTCAATTTCCCCACTAGTCATCTTTACAAAAAATGTAAACAAAGTGATCAACGTTTTGTGCCTTGGCCCCATCAGAATAAGAAATTTCTGAAAATGTGAGTGCTTGCGTGCTAGACTCCTCTATTTACCAGATGTATCACCAAAACAAAGTCTCTTCCATTGGTTTACCAGAAACACAATATAGGGTGAGAATACTTTTTGTGCGTGTGCACACAGCCGCACACAGCGCACAACCACACACACACACAGACACACAAACAGGAGAGAGAGAGAGAGAGCACAAAAGCAGAGACAGGTGTGCCAAATTCACCCATTGTTGTCTGACTTTGATGGTAGTAGTGTGATGCAATAATGCACCTCTATGAAGAGAAAGCATTGGTAGTCTCCAGTGATGTGCAAAAACAGAAGCTCTTTGAACTATTGCACAAGTGACATTCATTGTACAGAACAAGTTTAGCCCATTGGCTCTTATAGAACACCTGAAATAAGCACATGGCATTGCTAACGATAAAATAGGGGAAGATTTAGGCCCAAGACAGGGAGGGGATAGCATATCTGCTGAACATCTTCAGTTTGGAAATTCAAACTAAAGACTGATTCCTTATTGGCAAGCAAAAGAAAACCGAGGCATGGTTTACCAATGCAAGAGAGGAAAGACTTCATCCGCAGTCTAATAAGATCATGATTTGTAAACGTCTGCTATGACAAGACTCCAAAAGTAATGTAATGCTATTAAACAATGAGATGAATAACAGGAGTTAGTTCGCACACAACAAAAAAGTAAGGCAACTCAGTGTGAGAAGCTCTCACCATTGTGGAATATGGAGAGGGTCAAATATATGTAGCCTTACTTCTACATAAGAAGAGACTGTTTTCACAACTCAAACCCGTGAACCCCAAGTCATAATAGAGACACAAGTGTCCTTGTTATATCAATTGTGAACACAATCATCTAGCATCACATAATGCATCACTACCTGTCACTATGAACAACAATGAGTCTAAAAAGTGTCTTTAAACACATAATATATGGTCTAATAGCTAACTAGCTAGGATTGATCTGGCGACCCAAATGAAAACTTAGGATTGGCAGCCATCCGCAGGTTCCCATCCAATATTAGGAGTCGGAAGAAGCCTTCCAGATACAAATAAGCAANAACTAGCTAGGATTGATCTGGCGACCCAAATGAAAACTTAGGATTGGCAGCCATCCACAGGTTCCCATCCAATATTAGGAGTCGGAAGAAGCCTTCCAGATACAAATAAGCAAGCAAATCTATTTCAGTGAGATAAACAGAGCACCAATAATAGTACAATGCGTATAAAAAGAATCCATTCTCATTAAATAATAGATGCCTCTGGTCAGANAAGCAAATCTATTTCAGTGAGATAAACAGAGCACCAATAATAGTACAATGCGTATAAAAAGAATCCATTCTCATTAAATAATAGATGCCTCTGGTCAGAAAAGCTGAGAGCCCTATACTGCATGAATTCTAAAAGTGGAAGAGAAGATTCGTCCTTCCATTCAAATTGACTTGGCAAAAAATAATTTATCGAGTTAAGCGATGTAAATCAGGAATAACTTTGCACAACAAAGATGGTGCAATACCTTCTTTCCACGAATAACAGCTCCAGGCTCTCCTTGGATTACCATGTATTTTAAGCTGCCTAGATATAAGCCCGTAGGGGCAAGGTGACCAGGTTCATTGAAATCAGTGATGATACCATTGATCTCCTCAGGCTTAAACTGCACCAGAAAACATATGGTGATGACAAAAACAACTTGTTGCAGTTATTAATAAATGTTGGAAAATAACATATGGTGATGAGTGATGACAATCAGATCATGATATATTACTTCTAGTGTTTTCAAAACAAATTGTAAAATCAAACGCAAACATCTCTTGAAGCTTTCCTCCTACTCTGACACACATGAGCTATAATGAAAACAAAAATGGCTGCATGCGCTACACATTGTGCCTTATATTTTTCAAATTCAAAAAATGCAATTCCAGCAGAGTCGGTCCATGAAATCCACAATGGGAAAGCTATCAAACAACCACATCCACTGAGGATCCAAATAATCACTGACACCGAGTATCAATACAACCAACCCAATGCAATCATCCATATTTCATTTCTATTTGTTCAATTCAATCCATAACATAACAAAGACAAAAGGATCGTGCAACCACATTGTCATATTGATTGCTGATTAATCCCTTATTAAGGTACACAAATCATGCTAAGAAACGATTCAATGCGCGATTGACATGCAACTTCACAATTTCTTCAATAAACAACCAAATCAGAACAAATTCACAAACTTATAAAAATTACAAGAAATGAATGGGCTTCCATTTTGACAGATCGAACCGATCAACAATGTATTCAAACAAAACATTAACATACATGAACAGTGTACGCTAGACACGTACATAAATATCGTAATAGAGGGAGAGAGAATGAGAGAGAGAGAGAGAGAGAGGTGAAGACCTGAGGGAAGGAAGAGCTCTGAGCCCAGACACTGCCGTCCTCGCCGATGATAGCAGCGGCGGAGAGATGCTGGCCTTGGCCGTCTATGTCACACATCAAGTGTTCGTCCACGTACGCTTGCCACGACATTCTCTCTGAGATTCAAGGTCTCACTTTTTTCTGTGGCTACACTAGTAATGGCTTTGCTGTTCTCCTCTTCCTCCGATTTCTGTTTTTGAAAAGAGAATAATCATGGTTGATCATTGATGATTGATTATGATTCTCTCCGGACCGTCCTTTCAATATATTGAATTGGCTAGTTCAAGGGTAGCCAGTGGAGACAGATGTAAATTTAGAGGTCCTCAATTTGAAATTTAATAATTTTTTTGGGATCATAAAAAATTTAGGATTTATCTCAATTTGTATTCCGACTCGAACCTTAATTTATATCCTAAAAGTTTAAAAATATTAATTTATACACTGAAAGATATAAATAANCTCCAACCTTAATTTATACCCTAAAAGTTTAAAAATATTAATTTATACACCGAAAGATATAAATAGATATCGATGTACACCTGAGACTAACTACCATCTATTTTGTTGTTAAAATAGTTTAGATTAATTATAAATTATATCTCTCAAAGTTTAAATGTTTCACATTTATGTTACAAAAAAAATTCTATCAATTAATGCACGTTAAATAGTTCTCAATTATATCGTGTCATAACATTTTCGTGTCGTGTTTGAGTTAATAAAAAAATATTTTTAACACAAAAAATATTTTTATGTTGAGTAAATTACGTTGTGTCATATATTTCACATTTACAAAAATTCATATAATACTATTTAATATTTTTTAAAAATTAAAAAATATCTATTTTTTTATCTATAATACTCGTTAAATAACTATTTTATGTCTACAATTTTGTTATTCANATGTTGAGTAAATTACGTTGTGTCATATATTTCACATTTACAAAAATTCATATAATAATATTTAATATTTTTTAAAAATTAAAAAATATCTATTTTTTTTATCTATAATACTCGTTAAATAACTATTTTATGTCTACAATTTTGTTATTCGTATCGAACTTTAATTTAATCAGACAATTAAAAGATTTATGTCTAACTGCAGACATAAAATAGTTATTTAATGAGTATTATAGGCAAAAAATAGGTATTTTATAATCTTTTTAAATTTTGAAAACTGTTTTTATTAACTTGAACATGACTCGAAGATGTTATGATACAATACAATTAAGGGCTATTTAATAAGTATTAATGGATAAAATTCTTTTTAAATCATAAATATAAAATATTTAAACTTTGAAAGGTATAATTTATAATTGTTCTAAACTTTTTTAACAGCAAAATAGACGAAGTTAGTCCCAAATATACATTGATATAAATTTGTATCTTTTAGGGTGTAAATTGAAATTTGGATAATCTTTAGGGTACAACTTAAAATTAACCTACAAAATTTACTTTTATAAATATTAAATTGGTGTCATTCATGACTGCCTTTGTCTGAAGACATTACATAATCTTGGAACAGAAATGATTTTGAAACTTAATTTATTGACCTAATTTATTATCACTTTTGATTAACTGTGAGTTTTATTAAACATTGAAACTTGGTGTTTATCTGATGGTTTCAATGAAGTCACGTCATTATGTCAACACATTATATTAAATTTTTAGGTTCAAATAACATTTTTTNAATAGTTATTTAATGAGTATTATAGGCAAAAAATAGGTATTTTATAATCTTTTTAAAATTTTGAAAACTGTTTTTATTAACTTGAACATGACTCGAAGATGTTATGATACAATACAATTAAGGACTATTTAATAAGTAATGGATAAAATTCTTGTTGAATCATAAATATAAAATATTTAAACTTTGAGAGGTATAATTTATAATTGTTCTAAACTTTTTTAACAGCAAAATAGACAAAGTTAGTCCCAAATATACATCGATATAAATATATATCTTTTAGGGTATAAATTAAAATTTGGATAATCTTTAGGGTACAACTTAAAATTAACCTACAAAATTTACTTTTATGAATATTAAATTGGTGTCATTCATGACTGCCTTTGTTGGAAGACATTACATAATCTTGGAACAACAATGATTTTGAAATTTAATTTATTGCGCTAATTGGATTAACTGTGAGTTTCATCAAACATTAAAATTTGGTGTTTATCTAATGGTTTCAATGAAACCACGTCACTATGTCAACACATTATATCAAATTTTTAGGTCTAAATAATATTTTTCATCTTGAAAATATATATTTAGAATAATATTATCAAAAGTAAAAAATTTAATTTAAAAATATAACAGTTAATATGATCTATAAATTTATCGTTATTATCAGAATTCTCTATTTTTTTGATTGAAATTATATCATTTGACACATCAATAGTTCAATTATGGGTTGAAATTGTGAAATTTGCCATTTGATGGCATGGGTGTTCATGCATTAACGTTCCAGACCGATATGCTACATTACCACCCAATGCTGGACCGACCAAAAAGGAGATAAAAAATATAGATCAAATGACGTGATATTATCATAATAATTTTTTTTTTAAATTTCAAATGTATAAAAGTGGCCAAAAATATCATTATGATAATGCCACATCATTTGATTATTATTTTTTATCCTCATTTGTTGGTTAGTCTATAGTTATTCTTCCATGTTATCTTATGCCATTTTAATATTATCAAAAATTATTCCTATTCCAGACCGGGGGAGGATTAGTGATGCAGATCGTATAGCAACGNAAGGAGATAAAAAATATAGATCAAATGACGTGATATTATCATAATAATTTTTTTTTTTAAATTTTAAATGTATAAAAGTGGCCAAAAATATCATTATGATAATGCCACATAATTTGATTATTATTTTTTGTCCTCATTTTTTGGTTAGTCTATAGTTATTCTTCCATGTTATCTTATGCCATTTTAATATTATCAAAAATTATTCCTATTCCAGACCCGGGGGAGGATTAGTGATGCAGATCGTATAGCAACGTAGTACTTAAATCAATGAGATCAATGTCGGAGTGATTCGGGTCAGTCAACCAAATTGTTCTTTTCAGAAGCACTTCCACAAACATAAGTTTCCAAATGCGCATGACCAGTCAGCAATTACAAGACGAAATGAACTCATAACACCTCTAATAGGAGATGCAATGACTTATGGTGGATTTTGAANATTGTTCTTTTCAGAAGCACTTCCACAAACATAAGTTTCCAAATGCGCATGACCAGTCAGCAATTACAAGACGAAATGAACTCACAACATCTCTAATAGGAGATGCAATGACTTATGGTGGATTTTGAGCAAATTCTTTCATTTAATATTTGAAAAAGGGCATTTTTGTCATCTTTAATAATATTTTGTAGTTGAATAATTTTACCGGTTAAAATCAAAATTGATCTTCGTCAATTTTATCTTAATCTAGGTGATTAGTAATTTTTAGCAGTATAAGTAGTTTGAATTTTTTTTTTTTTGGCAAAATCTATATTAATGACCTAATTACGTAAATTAACGATAATTAAGTTACATTTGGTTATTTCCTAGTTAGTTTTAGAGTTTTAGCACTATTTATACCCTTGTAAGTTTTAGGGCTAAGCAATTTTTAGAGTAATACAATTGAGAGAGCTTATCTTTTATTCTCAATTATTATTGTATTTTTTATGAATCAAGAGATCAATCGAAGCCTTTAGAATTAATATTTTTTGTGAATCAACAACTCTAGAGTAAGATTTTAATCCGATATTTGTGCGCAAATCAACAGTTTAGTCTCTTTATCCCTTTTCGTTCATTAATCCATTATTTCTATCCGTTTCAATTAGTTGTGGTGCGTGTAAGATGACCTAGATATCATTGACCNACAACTCTAGAGTAAGATTTTAATCCGATATTTGTGCGCAAATCAACAGTTTAGTCTCTTTATCCCTTTTCGTTCATTAATCCATTATTTCTATCCGTTTCAATTAGTTGTGGTGCGTGTAAGATGACCTAGATATCATTGACCGTTGAACCAAATTTTTATTTTATTTTATTCCTATTGTATCCCTCATATTTTGGTATCATTAAATGTTATGTAAATGAGTTAAACTATTTTTTGACTTTCAAATGTTAAGTTACATGGATAAATTGAGATGGGATAGTTATGTATCTTGAAGGAATTTAAATGTACAGACAATGTTTTGCAATTAAATAAATAAAAATTCTAANCCTTGTAAGTTTTAGGGCTAAGCAATTTTTAGAGTAATACAATTGAGAGAGCTTATTTTTTATTCTCAATTATTATTGTATTCTTTATGAATCAAGAGATCAATTGAAGCCTTTAGAATTAATATTTTTCGTGAATCAACAACTCTAGAGTAAGATTTTAATCCGATATTTGTGCGCAAATCAACAGTTTAGTCTCTTTATCCCCTTTCGTTCATTAATCCATTATTTCTACCCGTTTCAATTAGTTGTGGTGCGTGTAAGATGACCTAGATACCATTGACANTTTCGTTCATTAATCCATTATTTCTACCCGTTTCAATTAGTTGTGGTGCGTGTAAGATGACCTAGATACCATTGACAGTTGAACCAAATTTTTATTTTATTTTATTCCTATTGTATCCCTCATATTTTGGTATCATTAAATGTTATGTAAATGAGTTAAACTGTTTTTTGACTTTCAAATGTTAAGTTACATGGATAAATTGAGATGGGATAGTCATGTATCTCGAAGGAATTTAAATGTACAGACAATGTTTTGCAATTAAATAAATAAAAATTCTAANTGTATCTCGAAGGAATTTAAATGTACAGACAATGTTTTGCAATTAAATAAATAAAAATTCTAAAATTTTAGAAATTAAAAGCGAAATCTTATTAAACCCCTCACTCTGATTTAATTCTTTTACGCAATAGGAGAGGTTTGATTTTGGTTAGGTTTGCACAGTTTCAATATGCATCATACGATAAATCTCCAAAAGCCATATTTATGAAATACTTTCAATCGCATTGATAGACCTTCAACCCACAAAGAGAATTGATTTACCGGTAGACGTCTTTCCCATATTCTCCAAAAATTCAATGTTTGAGTTCACCCTGCTGTCTGCA